AGGTCCCAGAGTTAGTGTAGTGTGCCGCTGCCGGTGAAGGCAAGCGTTATTAGGTAATAGTTTAGCACTGTCTGAGACTGTTTAGTGTTGGAACTACGTTTTTAGTGTGCAGGTACGCGGTGTTTTATTTTTATCATTACAGTCAATCTTTAATTTATGTTTGTTGTCTGTTTGTAGACGGCTTGAACTAACTTGGAATGTTTTCATTTAAGTATGTGCACTGCAGCATTGTTTAAAGACTATCCTTCACGCATTTTAATATATTTATATATATATATATCATATATATTTTCTTTTTTTAAAATATGTGAGATTATAGTGCAAGTTTGACTGTTTGTGTTAAAGTCATTTTAAAAATTTGGTGTAGAAAATGAGCGAGACAGTTTAAGTAATTTTTTCTGTGCTGACAGCATAAAATAATAATAATTATAATTAATTGCACTGCCCTTATGAACTTCGTCAATTACAGTTATTTTATATTATATTACTAATTCCTGTTGACAAGAGCCAAGTTTATGTTTGCTTAGGGTTTAAGTAAAGATGTAGGTTTATTTATAATATTTCACAAATTTCCATAATTATTTATATGAATGTTGATTGCATTTTATTATTTGTTTCTATAGAAACAAACTGAACATATTTTTTTATAATAGTTAATGGTGCTTGGGAAAATTAAAAATGACGGCAAAATGTCTTTTATATAGAAAAATTGAAAGATGTGACATTATATTCGTTGTCTTCATATATTTGTGAGGATAAATGTAAACTAATACTTTCATGAGCATACAAGGAAAATTAATGAATATATTTATAGATTTCTATTATTTGATGCCGACTTGGCTAGTAATTTAATGTATACTTCCTCTTGAAACCTTTTCATGCTAATTATGAGTCACTCAGTCTAAGGTGGATGAGTAAATTTTCTCTGGCAGTCAGTTTTCATAAGTGTAATAAAGTTGATGTAGTATGTAGCAAATTTTAAAACTGTCAGTTTGTTTTGGGGTTTTACATTACATTTATGATTTTGACATAAAATCATTTTCAAATAGATTGAATTTCCTTAATTGCCGTTGACAAATATATAATGCTGACATTCTTGTTAAAAAATGTAAATATGAATAAAATTTTTCATTTGACAGTTTATAAATGTACTGAGCATGTAATATTACAGTTTTACTGTCAGTTGTAACTTATTAGAAGTCCTTTAAAGTAAAAAAAAATCATTGATAGGTTTGTTCCATGCTTGATGGCCAAGTATGGAAAGAGCTAGCTGAATGAAGTTTGCATGACTGTATGGTTTATAATTACCGCCGTGCATATTGGAAATATATTTTCCTTACAAAATATTCATTGAAAGCTAACAGTACTGTGAATTTAGCCATAGCTTTCTACCTCGGTATAAACTGTAAGCCATAATTAGAGTTGGTTTCAGTATTGGTTTGGTGTGTTTCTCATCCAAACTTTCATTAGCATAAAATCAAATGTTCAGTGATTAGCAAATGATGGAAAAATTGTTTTATGACTACAGTCAAAAGTCTTTAATCCGGACTCGTTGGAACTTCTGCGATTCCGGATTATAGATCATCAGTTTAAATCTGGTAAGATGGCATGCATAAATTATAAAATTAAAAATATGAAACCGTAATTTATGAAATAAAGAGCAGTTATGATCTAAAGGGTATCAAAATTTACAATAAAAGCTTAATATTTATTTATTTACTTTATTAAACATTTCTTTCAACGCGCGCATGCATAAAGCATACATTACGCATAGTCGAAATTAGAAAATTGTAACCAGAAAACTATTTCATTTGTATTCGTGATATTTATAATGACGAGGAATTTGATTTAAATCATATCAAGAAGGACCACATCAAGATGAAATACTACATTTAGTAAGGAATTATAAGCCGAATAAAATAAAAACATCTGCCCTGAAGATAAGGACAGTGCTGACAGATCAACTTCCAGTTCATTGCACACCGCGACGCCCCCCCTCCCCGCGCGCACAGCAGCGTGAAATTGATAAATCATAACAAACATGCTTTCTCTTTGTAGATCCAGCATCAGAAATTCTATTTGACATAATCGAAAGTTCCGACTTACTTTTATAAAATTGCTCTAACAGTCTGCAAAAAATAATAAGCCGGATCCGATTCGAAGATTATGGAACAACGCAATCTGCAACATTAATTGAAATAGATAATTAGATAATTTTTTTTAGCTTATAGCGTCCGTATAAATGCATTAAATGCGCATGCGCAGAAAGTTTGTAGCTTTGAGGTCCGGATTATGGGTGTCCGGATTAACGACTTTTGACTGTATTTTTCAAATGATGAGAAATAAAAGGAATCTTGCTTTTAAATACTTGAAATATAATATATTAAATTGATATATTTGCCACTCTCGTTCTGTTTTGTTCCATGTATCCCTTTCACCATTATTAGATCCTTTCCTTTCTAAAATTAAAAATATGCATATGTACATTTATTTGCATTTAGATTTTTTAACATGTTTTATAAATCAAACAGCAAAAAGTATGAAAAATTTTTACAACTACTAAAACTTGGATAAAAATAGTATTGTATATTCATGAACAAAAACTAAATGCTTAACAACCAGACTTAGCCTATTAGCGTATTCTTTTTAACTCCCAAGGCAGGAATAGGGGATTGCTTGTGAAGGCTTCTTACTTCAAAGATCCAATTAGGAAAAATCTCAAAACAAGGCCCATTGTGGAAATATGTCTGGTTAGATGGACCTGACATAGTAGTACTGCCATATGTAGTAAAAACTCTGTGTAAACACATCAGTATCAAATACTTAATAACTAAACAAAAGGCTGTCTGCTTTTCCCCCCTAGTTTGAAATTATGAAACTACCTTCTAGTTGAGAACTCCTGTGATACAATCTTTATTAAATTCTGTTGATTAGTTAATGTAATGAATGGTAAAAGTATAGTTTAGGGTACCTCTTGGCAATTTTTGGCGGTACATGGATACCGATTTTGTGCAATACTTTGACTCGTTATTTTGGCTTGCGAAAAGGTGATTTTTGCGCCAAAAATCGTCGCTACACAAAGCCAAAATAACAAGACAAAATAATTGCACAAACTCGCTATCCATGTACACATTGACTTATTTTCACTTAAAAAAAAAAAACCCAAATTGCACAAAAATGGCATTGCGCACTCTTTTAACTTTATCCATATACACGTCAACCTATTTTCACTTTAAAAAAAATCTCAGAATTGCACAAACTTGCATTGTGCACTCCCTTTACTTTGTCCATGTATACATCGATATATTTTCACTTAAAAAGTCAAAGGAGCACCAAAGTCTACAATATAGGCAAACAAAAAATACATAATCTTAATAAAATACATTTTAAAGCAAACAATAAAATAACAAAAAGAAAAAACATGTTATACATTTAAGCACTACCAAAAGCAAATATTCACTTACCATGATTTTCGAGTTCGCTTCGTACACCCAGAGCCATGTAAAAGTCAAAATATCAATCATACTCAAATGACTTTTTTTCAAACCAGGTACTCTTTCTGAACGAATGCTTCACATAGTGACCATCTGAACCTTTCTTCCTACAAACCCATTCAAATCCATCTAAACAGTTTTAACACACACCACAAAAACGCTTACAAAACATCCCATGATTCAAAATTTCCCAGAATCGTGCACCCGATTACGTCACAATAGGGTTTCCATAACATTCAACTACTCAGGCTACCATAAATGAAACAACTTGGCGATAAATCAAACAACTTCGCCATAATACAAGGAGTACCTTTAAGTCTACTCTACCCGTAATGAACACATAGTTGTTTATTATCTTTTAAGTTATGTATGCATTAAGAATAATTTTTTTACAGTTTTTCTCTATCTAAATAAAAATGTGTGTATCTTTGTTATTATAGAGCTTAATTTCAGCAATTTAATAGGACTTTTGGCTCTAGTGTAGAATTCGGTGCCCCTTCGATTAGCGACAATTTTTTTTTAAATTTTGGTGATGAAACTTCACTTCTGGTTACCATGATAGTTTTAACTCTGTTTTAGCTTCCTGATTTTATTTAAATGAAAATAAATTTATGTGTACATGGACAAATTTAAAGCAGTGCGCAATGCCTAGTTTGTGCAATTGTAGGATGTTTTTTAAGTGAAAACAGATCGATGTGTACATGGACACAGAGTTTGTGCAATTCTTTGACCTCTTATTTTGGTTTTGTGTAGTGACTATCAAGAAATTGTACCTTCCTGGTGCCGATCTTGGCATCAAAAAAAGAATCTCCAAAAAACAAGGGGCATCCAATCGTAAACTTTTATCGGACTTTTTATATGTTAAAAAGTTAAATCTTTTAGAATAGTATCTTTGTACATCATTGAATTCCATGTTTTAATATTTTTAAGTCTGCACTACTCTAATTTAACTTGGGCCATTATATTCTGGTATCATTCATTTAACAGTGACATCAGTTCTTAATTTAACCAACTTCGATTTCTTTATTGTAAATTCAGTTTTTTGCCTCAAAATTTTAAAGTAATTAATGGTAAGGAACAATGTTTTTGTAATAAAAACTTTTACTGTTATATTTTCAATAAATATCAAAATATTCTTTGGGGATACTATTGTAATCATGCCCTGCATTTGAAATCATGATTGACTGGACTAATATGAAATTATACTAATATGATTGACTGGACTAATATGCATTTGAAATGATGATTGACTGGACGACTGCTGCTATTTTATTTAAAATATTGTGTGTTAAACATTTTAAATTCATAATTATTGTATTTTCAAAATAATTTTTTATTTTCATTAATTCATGATCATAGTTATGTCTTATTTTAGTATTATTATGTGTATATATTTTAAGTAAAGTTTATTTTTTTTCCCTAGGAAATTGTTTTGTGGAGTTAGCATGGGCCAAAATATTTGGCTTACACCTACATTATTTCCTTTTATCACTTGAAATATCCATTATGTCTGTTGGAGGAGAAGCATTGATTTATAACTGTCGCGTCCTGGATCGTCCAGAGACTACTTCGACATATCCACATATAGTGTCTGTGCACAATGGAGGATTGAAACATGTTAATAATAGTGTTAAAAAGTGTAAACCTTCAAGATCTATATCAGCTTGTGTTCCAAGTTCCTCGTATGAGGCACTGCGATATGCTGTAGCTGCATTAAATCGTTTGGATGATTTTAATTGTGAAAAAATTGGCGCTGGATTTTTCTCCGAAGTTTTCAAGGTACATTTTTATTTTTTATGAATTGTTTGTATCTGTTTCAAAATGTTATTTACAGGCTTAATATTTTAAGCATTGTATGTCATTGTTATTTGTTAGTCAGTATTCCCTTCCTTAATGAAGGTATAAACTTTCACCGTTTTTTTAGTCGGCGGCATGTAATTAAGATAAATTAAGAATTTGAACATTTTTTAGAAATTTAACAAATTCCTTAAAAGTGAGATTTTTACATTTCTTACTGAAAAAAGAAAGTAAAAGCTGACTTAATATGAACTTTTCAAATGTTAATCCTTTTATTTTTTTCTTTAGTATTTTTGGATTGTTTTAAACAACTTTCTATTGGTGAAATTTGAGAGGGTGACAGGTTATTTATTGTACAGTGTACATATTTGAAGTAAAAAGAGCAGATATTTTTTAGATAATTCAGGTTAAAAAAAAATTGAGCAACTAAAAGAAGCATTAATTTTAATTTGATGCATTTTCAAACAGTTAATGTGTAATATTTGATCTCCTATCAATTTTATTGCATTGAATAATAATAATCTGGTTTTTTAAACACGATTACATTCTAACATAATTTACTTATTAGCAGAACCAGTGCTAGTCTTTTTGCTGCTTGATGTAAACTCTGCAACTTTGCAGCATTAAATTCTGATGCCCGTTTTCTTCATAAATTCCAAAAGATTTGCCATCCCTAAATTTTACTGTCTGGTGCAACTGTAGGTTGCACGGGCCCTGCTTTATACTTATTGCTGTTAATATTTTCTTCCAAGAATTCATTAATTTCTTAAATTTCTATATGATGCTGGTACCTGTAGCACAACTCTCTGCAATTCAGCATTATTTATTAAGCCTGCAATAAGTAAAGTACATTAAATCTTTTTTTTTTTTTTTTTTTTTTTTTTTTTTTTTTTTAAATTCGTGTCAGACTGTAGTTAGTTTATGTAAATCCAAAAACATTTGCTAAATGAACTTAAGGCTTAAAACTGAAGATTTTGTACTTATACAAAATAGAAAATTTTTTAATTTCATGTTCATTTTGGGTAGATAGAAAAGATTTTTACATTTTTGACCATTCTATCAAATGAACTGGGCAATATGTATCAGAAGGAGGAGAATGGGGAAACTAAATATCTTTTTCTACATTCATTTGCAATATGCATGTGAAGTTATCAGAAATATGCAACATGCACATGAGTAATATGTATGCTGGAAAATTGTTCAAATTTAAATGTTTCTTAAACAGTGTTTGCTTGTTATCAAACTAGAACTTACAGAAGTAAATATGCTTTTTCAAAGAACTTTATTATCATTTTAAGATATTTCTGCTCACATACTTAATGATAGAAAAATGATTGCCTTAAAATATTTTAATTTATATTCCATGGCATTGAGAAGGGTATTAAATACTGTGAATTCAATTTAGTTTAAAGCACGCAAGGATAAAAATCTCCAGCTGCAAATAGCCTTTGTAAAGGCTTCAAACATATACATTTTTAAAACAGCTTTACAAAGGTAAGGTTAAAAGTTTTTAACTGTAAAGGTTTTTAAATGTGATGTAAGGCATCACATTATTGCGTTGAAAGAAAAAAGTTGCTGTGTAAGAGAAGTATCGTTATTTTGAAGAAGTTAAGAAATTGTGTAAATATAAACTTTTTAAAGCGTTAATCTGTTCAGATGTATTTGAGTTTTTTTAGTAATGCATATATAACTCTTAGGCTAATGCTATATCTACTCATGATAATAAAAAATAAGGGAAAGATTCCCATCGTTTTGACAGGATGATAGTTCTGGTTTTAAAAATACTTTAAATGCTGTTAAAAAACTAAAATTGCCATTTTGTAGAAATCTGAAAAAATTTCTGGTATGTAAGATAAATTGTTCTAGGAAAAGGCTTCATAAATCACAAAATAAAATTGAATTGAATAAATTTTTTAAAAATATGTTATTATCTTGCTTATAAATTGTATAATAATAGCAGAAGGGAGCTTTTTTAAAGTAATAAATTTATCTTCAATAATGCTGATTTGAGTAAAAAGGGTTATTAAAAATGTGGAAAAATGAACATCTTTTGTTTTTTTAATTATTTTTCTTTGCTTATGTGGCTACAAAGAAAAGCATGTTATAAATTACTAAATTTTAAAAATCGATAAAATCTTTTATATAGGAATTAATGAAAAAAAATTAACAAAAGGCCAAAGTTGAAATTTTTGTTTATTATCAACATCTTGAGCACTTATGTAATGAAATAAGGTTATAAGTCATCCTTAAATACTTATATTTATATTTCTTGATTGCAGCTTTACATATTGAAATTGGTCAATTTTTGATATTTGCCGTAAAATTAGACAAGCTAAGTAACATTTCATTTGGCTCCTGGAGATTTTCAGCAGTTCTGTTTTTGTACTTAATATTAGGTAATTTCTGCCATTATATATAATAGTTTAATAAATATAATAGTGTAAACAGAATAGTTTGTTTTTAATTTTGAAATATATCAAGATCTAATAATATTCTTTCTAATATTTCCAGTTTGAAACATTAAAAAAAAAAAAAAAAAAAAAAAAAAAAAAAAAGAAACCTCATGGGTACACCACATGACTTCCTTCTTCGCAGTAAGGTTAAAATGCATAAAGCCCCAAAATATCTTAATTAAAAATTGAAAAATGTATAGAAATGCAGTTAAAATAATTAAAAAACCAACTTTTTAATTTAAAATTGGAGTTTTCACCCCAAAACAAGCAATTCAGCCAGCAGACAACAAGGCAGATTTTTCGATGCACAAAACTGAAAGTTTACTTTTGGTCCCACTCAGCAAAAAAAGTTGAAGGTGCTAAGTTCACTATTCTGCTAAATTACAAATGTAAAAAAAATATGGCTACTATGGTAAACAAAAATGTATAGGTAAAACGTACATCACAAAAAAGTCTCTTCTGAATCCATTTTAAATCAATTTTATAATCCATTTGGTGAAGAAGAGTTCTGTATTCTGGCCTTACGTATAGATGTCATGTGAAAATATCGTTAAATTACATTTGATAGCCGTCAAAATGGATATTTTCTTTGAAATATGAAACCCGGAATTTTTCGTGGTTACAGTACTTCCTTTACTTCATAGAAGGAAGTAAAAAGTTATTTAAATTATATTTTATATACTTTTCAAAAATAATTTGCTTCTTTCAAAAGTGGAATTCATTTTTAAATAACTTGCTTCAACCCAAAAATATCCAATTCATTAGAAATTGTGAACAATTGTTTTTGCTTCTATTGAATTCTTGACAATTTAAAAGAATTACTTCCTAGATACTTATAATGAGATTTTATACATTAGGTTTATAATATATATGCATTACAAATAAATTCATTAGCAAAAGAATATACATACTTGTATGCATATTTGAAAAATGTTAAATTTTCCATTTCTTCCTTAGTAAATTATACTTCTCATAAATATATGGTGAATCATAATAAAATGAATTAAAAAAATAATAAAAATATATATAAAATGCAGTTGTATTTCCAGAGGTGAAAATTTAATGAATAAATATGAAGAGTTTATTTAATAACTTCATTAGCATCTGTAGGAAAGTACCTTACATCTGTTAAAAATTATTTCATTGTATTTTCCATGCATAATATAATTCTCTAATAAGTCCATAATCCGGACCTCAAAGTCACAAACTTACGCATGCGTGTTTGATGCACGCATCCGCTACACATGCGCATAAAGCCGGTAAAGCCAGTAAAGCTTTTACACTTGCGTGCTTCCGATACTGAAGAAAGTGACAGAGTTTATTATTGAAAACGAAAAAAGTTCGATTGACAAGTTAGTCAGTATTCTCGACACAGCAATTACAGGATTTGAACAGTGAAACTTTGTAACTGAACAAGAAATTATGTCTGTTTATAGAAGAGAGAATTACAGAGAAAGTATTAGCACAAAAAACGAAGCAACTTAAACAACTTACATTGAAAGAAATGTTATTTAATAAAGTAAACAAATAAATATTAAGCTTTTTTTTGTAAATTTTGATACCCTTTAGATCATAATTGCTCTTTATTTCATAAATTACGGTTTCATATTTTTAATTGTATAATTTCAGCATGCCATCTTACCAGATTTTAAATTGATCTATGATCCGGAAAAACTCCTAATCCGGAATCGCCGAAATCCCAACGAGTCCGGATTACGGATTTTCCTACCGTATATGAAAACTGTCCAAAAGAGCTGAGAGCTAATTTTTTTTCTCCTTGAGTATATATATATATATATATATATATATATAAATGATACCTGGAAGTGTAACTTTTTAAATTGTATAAATTTGGATGCATAAATGGTTGATATAGGAAAATGGTATTTCATAATGTAATTTATAGTTTAATTTTATTGGTAAAAGTAACAGTTTTGTTTTACACATGAAAGTTATTTTTATTTTTTCAGCCGTCTTCCGCGACCAGGAAATTGACCGGGTCAGGTTAAACGGTTATTGTAGTTATCTAATTCTTGAAGTGCTTGAGATCTCATTGCCTTTGTATATCGTGTGTGAAGTGCGAATGCATTTGAGTAGATAAGTGTGATGAGTGTTTTACAGAAGTGGAAGAGGAAGCGCGAACACATTACGTGTAAAGTAAAAAAGCGGTTAATTTTGGGCCTTCGGCGCCCCACACCTGGTATGTTAGACTCATTCGACGCTTAGGGTTATTTTTAGGTATCTCTTTGCTTCGAGTTCACGTTCTGTTTATTATTCTTCGTTTTCTTTCGAATTTCGTTTTTGCGTATATTTTGTTTTCATCTCGGCGGGTTTTTGGGGAGTTTGTCCCCCCCATGGCGATAAGTTTAGAAAATCGCTTGGTATTCCCTTCTTCGTTATCTATTTTATCTTGGTGCAAAGGCAGTTTTTTTTTATGTACTTTTTTTTTTTAAATTGGAATTGCTGAGAATTTTAGTTCCGTAATTAACAGCAATTCAGTTAATCTTTGTATCCGAGTTCAGATATTCC